TTTCCAGATTATGCAAATGTCAAAAAATCTTAAGGCAAAATTATAAGTTTATTACTGATGCATAGTGCATTTTGCATGTTTTTATATAGATCTGGTTTATTCTCAAAATTGAGTGGAGCCTCCTAAATCTACTCTATACATTTCCTGTATTTTAATGGCTTTTGATACAAATAAGCTATCTTCATTGGGATGGGGTGTGTTTATGCAGCCCTTAAATGAGCATTGGCTGTTAAAAGATTAGAATACGAAATGTAATGCAGCATAAACAGCTATACTGCAAGATGAATTGAACTTTGCAAAAAAAGTAAAGAATAATGTGTTCTAATGGGAATAATTAAATTGAAAGTCATAAAATAGACCATGTAAAAGCTTTGATTAAAATGTAATTAAAACTGTGAAAGACATAATGAAGTGAAACTTGCAGTGGGATCTGCAGGCACTGTAATTACCAGTGTCAGCGTAGGGAAGGCATTTTTGTGGATCAATGTATTTTAATCTCATGCTCTCTCAGTGTGAAGGAAATGTAATATTGTAACGCACCAATAAAACAACACATGAATGTGGGTTTATACATCTTGTGTGTTATCATTTTTTTTGGATAAGATTAAAAGTTACCAAGATAGTTTCATTAGTTAATCACATGGAGTGTTGCAAAAATAAGTCTAAAGTAATTTGCATCACTTATGTACAACAGCAATTCCAAAAGTCATTATTGTTACTACAAGTACGGAACAGCTTTCCTCATTTAAACAAAGTAGTCTATCCAGTCTTCATCCAGGAAAATGTGCAGTTTTAGTCCTTAAGGCTGAAATTTTGAAATCATCAGCCAGCTAAACTGCAACAAGTCCCTTTGCTTGTCAGGTTCTCTATCATAAAATACTAAGAATGCCATGCTTTGTAAAACACATGATTAGAATAGAAAAGGATAACGAGATCTATTAGAACATAGCAGAAAAATTCCAAGAGAATGCCAGTCTCAGGGAGTGTTTTAGGAATAAAGCTCTCGTGTTTATGTTGTTTCATTCCCAGCTTTCCCTGTGGGCATGTTAATCTGATTTGGCCTTCTAGTCTTAACCCACGCATACAGCAAGTTCTTTCTGCTTAATGGGGAAAGAGAACGTAAATTT